CGGGAATAATGATTATTGCATCCTCACCTAGTGTCTGAAAGCCTTATGTTCAACTAGAAATCTAGCTCGATAGTCCAACAATCGGAATTCAATCAGTCTCGTGGAAAGCAGTCGTACGGCAACCCAGGAAAAGTAGTGAGGGTCAATCAACGTGGTAGGATCTGAATGTTACTCTTACTTGACAATCGAATAGAAATATAGTGCTTGCAGAATTTGAATCCTTACTGATGTGCGATATAGCACTCAAATATAATCTGTTCTGATGCTGCATGTTAAAATTCAAGGGTAACATAAATTCCAAATCCTACGGTATTATGTATAAATAAGAGGCGACTGCAACTATAAGCAAAAACATACTTAAATGCTCCCAGCAGATTTAACTATATTGAGTAAAGATGCATTGTTAGGCCAACCTAAAACACTGGGTGATAAGTGAGTCATAAGTTCTCAGGTTTTGGAATCCCTCACCAAGAAGTATCATATTGTCAAGCAAGGTGTACAGAGTTAAATGAGATTAAACGAAAGTAAACACACACAAACTATATATATATATATATATATATATATATATCCTCAACGTACTTCATTAAATTCAGGAAGTTCAGCTAACACTTTATCAAATGGTGATGGCCATAGCTGAGAATTATCTAAAGACTTATAAAGTAATTTAGGCCATTCAATAGTTATATCTTTTGGTACCGATTGTATATTAGGCATAGTTGAAACAATACGACCAGTAGCTGTGTATACATCATATATAGGTGAAACACGTAATGGCTGAAATAAAGAAGTAAAACCAGAAGTTGAGTGAGAGTTGTTAAAAACAAAAGAAAATGATACAATGAAGACAACTCATAGAATTTCAATTATTATTGTATCCTTTAATTCCTAGAGGAACAGTCGTGCGTCTCCATTGCGTTCGGTTCTCTGCTAGAGTCTTCACCTGGCTCCATGTCTGCCCACACGTTTTCATCTCCTCTTCACATGACCTCCTCCATGTCACCCTCGCACTGACGACCAACTCGCCGCTTCCCATCCGGGTTCCACTCGAGCAATGGCCTGGTGTGTGATGTCACTTGATGGTTTTCTCAGAGTATGGCCAATCCATCTCCATTTCTTCCTGCCTATTTGTTTCACAATTGGTTCCTGGTTGGTTCTCTCCCAGAGATCCCTGTTGCTGATCTTTTCTGGCCGGCCATCTGATCTTGAGTATTGAGCGAAGACAACTGTTAATGAAGGTCTGTGGTTTGTTTGAGATGCTCTTTATGACGCGCAGTGCAAGTCTCTGATCCGTATAGTAAGTAGCACTGACTTGACATTGGAGTTGAAAATCCGGATCTTATTTTTGATGCTGAGTGCTGTTGACCTCCACACAGACTTGAGAGTAGTGAAAGCTTGCCTTGCTTTCCCGATTCTTGCTTTGATATCCTCGTCAGTTCCGCCTGTAGTTGAAACGACGCTTCCCAGATATGTGAAAGGAGGTAGTTTCTTTCAGGTTCCTCCCATTTATGCTGATTGTTGTATGCTGTTATTGTTGCTGTTGATGGTGTTGCCCGGGAATCTTCATCACCCCTGTCTTCTCTATGTTCACCTGAAGTCCTATCTTTGATGCTTCTTGTGCCAACTTGTTGCTTTTCGCTTGCATATCTTCCAGTTTGTGGGAAATCAGACATATATCATCGGTGAAGTCCAGATCCTCCAAGTTTTTTGTGTGGGTCCATTTTATGCCTGTTTCCTCATTGCCCGCTGTTTGTCGCATTATCCAGTATACTGCAATCAGGAAAATCAAAGGTGATAGTAGGCAGCCAGCTTATCTTACTCCTGTCTTCACTTCGAAGGATTCCGTAAGTTTCCCGTTGTGGATTACTTGGCACGTAGCATTGTCGTACAGCTGTTGGATTAGATGTATAATTGTCGGTGGTACCCCATAGTAGCGAACTAGTTGCCAATATATATATATATATATATATATATATATATATTCATCAGTGAGTGATAATGAAACCGATTGACTATTCATACTGCACTGGAAAAAACTACGTTCAAACCTGCGACTCAGCAGCTGCAAGTCACCTGTATACTAATATTAACTAGCATAAGTACTTACTAAACAATCACATATTTAATATGCAACAGCTTGTTGCATTTTGTCATCATAGAAGCCTGTACTCCATATGTTAAGAGTTATCCTAAAGTCTCTTTCTAAAAACTATCACCTTGTAATCCATTTGAGTGACAAGAATTAAGTATTGATTTCATAAATCAATACGTAAATAAATGTTACTGAATTAATTGTGAAAGATAGTTAGGGACGGTGATCCACTGGTCAAAAGTAGATATGCCTAAATAAGTGAATGAGCTACACGCCTGGAAAGATAAAGAATAATAACTGTGAAATGCACGATTTTGAAAGACAAATGTTTTCTTATTCATATAATCTGAGGAAGTATGTACAATTAATAATTGTCAAACAATCATGTTTCACTTACCTTTTCCCTATCAGAAACACAATTTCGACATGTTGAAACTAAAGAATTAAATATTTTTTCTAAAATACCATTTAGATGACGCCATTCGATAATAATAGCTGGTAATGGATGAACACCTGTGAGTTTTGACAGGACAGCATTAGTAGCTCTAGGCAGATGAGATGATTGTTTACGACCATTCAGTAATAAGGCTTGTTGATTACGTTTTCTTGTTAAAATAGTATCATTAGGATCTGATATCTGCGGTAGATGAAGCCATTTAAATAATACCTATATAAAGTAATATTTTGAAAAAAAGGGAAAACAAATAATATTGGAATACGAACAGCAAGACTTGTATTAAATTTAAATCTTGACATTATTAAATAAGTCGGAAATTCCCATTCAACAGTTAGCCTTGTTATTCACTAGTCAAGTCATGACACTGAAAAATAATAATAAAGATAGTCAACTATCTGAAATAATAATAATAAGTAATAGACCTGATTCTTTTTCATATATTTCTGTTTTACACATTATTTATGACATCCACAAAAATTATGGTATACTGCAGTATCTCAGTACTATCCAATAATCGAATCCTAGTGATTTATATTCACCATTTAAAAACCATATGTTGCAAGAATTTTAAAATAAAATACCGCTGTGAACAAATAAAGCGGCAGACAAAGGAGCGTAGAATTTATTGAGTATAAACAGTTTGATTTTCACTTGTTTCAAATTCGACATTTCTAAATCACTTAGGAGAGACGAGTTTGAAAAAAAAGTCATAACGTCTACGGTTTATTTTCAGAAAAGCCAAAATAATCAGAACACATGTGATTTTTCGTAACGCTGGTCATTCTTATCAAGTTTGAGAATACTTATGTTGAATAATTATTAATTTCAGCTGAATATAATTTCTTTGTTTTGTTAAATGTACACATAACCTAGTTGCTTGACGACTGACACTGTATAGAATAGTTGCTGTGCTAGTTGACAGTGAGTACTTTTAACATGAAAGGCCGTTTCAGTTATTTAGTGATGAGCTTATAAGTGATACAGACTGATATTCAGCACAGCATCAAATCGTTTCAAACCAACTCGGATCTGGCTAGCTACTGGCTGGTGATGACAACCAGTAGTGTTCACTGTCCAGTGATGATACCCACTGTCCTTATTTCTGTTTAATTTCATGATAGATACACTAATGAGATTGACCCTAACTAGCTTCAGAGACTCAGAGATCGACTTATTACCAGGGCATAGTCTTGTTGACTTAGAATATGTGATTGATATATTTTATCTCGGTGAAGATGTTGGCAAAGTGAAGAGTCTTCTGAACACTTAAAGAAGCGATTTTCGAATATTTGGTATGCGATTTTCTCCTGTCAAATATAAGATGATATTACAGGAATGCATTATATAGACTGCTAGCTCAAAGATAGGGAGTGAAATGGTAGAGCGTGTTGACCACATAACTTGTTCTGGAAGTTGTATAGACGGCAACCGACTGATTACTGATGAAATCTCAGCACAGATACGAAAGGCTCATTTGGCATTTGCTAACGCACGACATAACTCGCGTAGACGTGGTATCCGACTATCTACCACAGGATGCGTATACGGCTCAGTATTTCGTCTCATCGTCCTTTATGCCTTAGAGAAAAGGCTAGCTTTCTTTGACCATAAGAGTCTGCGTTCTATCTTCCGTGTTAGGGTAAGTTATATAGAGGCTAAGTGTCAAATGTAAGGTAAGGAGGGGAAATCAGTCGATTAGGTTGTGAAGCTACATCGGTTGAGATGGCTGGGGCGGGTGCTACGCATTCCTTTAAAGGGAAACGTTAGCAGACAGGATCAGGTTGGAAAAGAGTTATGAGTGGTCCAAGCTGAGCTGTGCAAAGTGAACATCAAGACTATGCAGTGGCAGCTAAAAGTGAAATTCGCAATATGCAGTCGACAGTTTAGTAATACTAATACTAAGAATAATTATTTTAACATTACACGACAGTTACAGATAAATAAACCAATAAATACTTTAGATATTTCTTTCGGTGAATCCATAGGAAATGGTAAACCAGCTAGTCGATGTGCAACACTTTCTAACTGTTTACAGGCACGAGTTAGTGAATCATGACATTTAGTCAATTCGTCAATGTTGAGATCTGAAAAAGAAAGTCAAAGAGCAAACAAACATGAATTAACATTTTTATGTGAGATTGATTTGGTTGAAAATTATATAAGTGGTATCTTGGTCGGTTTTCGACATAGAACTTTGCACATATGTGCGGCAGTTCAAGTCGCCACAATGTATATATATATATACAAGTGGTATCTACCAATGTTTTAAAGAAATTATTAAATCCATGTGTTAGATTTTGAAAATGCTGCTCGATCTAGGCTTTTTTTTAAATCTTTGACATTTACCAGTAAAATGGGTTTGATAACTTGGAAGGACCGTTAAATAAGGATCCCTAGTATTATGCTGACTGATTTTTAACTTTCAGTAAAGTGCGGTATGTTGCTACATAACTTAACAGTGAATCAAATTATGCTACCTGGCTGACTACTCAAACTTCAAACTATGGAGCTAGTTTCAAACTTTAGACCTACCGCTGTGAGACATGATCATCGAAACAGAAAGATATGAACAGGCTACTTATTTTTCACCATATTTGTCTGTATTTGAAATCCCATGTTATGTGATGTAGCATGCACGTTAACACCGAGGTTTACTGTAAACTGTTAGGTAAGAGGAGGAAATCAGTCAGCATCAATTGAGACGACTAGGACGAGAGTTGTGCATACCAAACAATCGCTTTTATCATCAAGCAATGTTAGCTGAAATAAGACTGGATTGCGAAAGAGCTGCGGATGATCACAGCAAAACATGGCATTAACCCAGTGATGTGTTTGACTGTTGGTTTGAGCCTATAAATATGATACTGTTTGAGCTACGACAGATGCTACACAGGTCATTTCCGAAGAAGTAAGTAGATACTGTCCATCGGTTGTGGCTTAGGACTTCCGAATAACAGGTATCTGATCCACACCCTCTAACCCTCTTACGGGTATCGTAACAGTAAACATTTAGTGCAACTGATAAACTGGTCGACAACTGAGTAACTGCACTATTACTTTAGTAATCCATAAAAATGTTTTAAAAGAAACAGTGTTATAACGCGTTCGAAGAGTTTGTTTTCCTTTGTTAAACGTCTACAATCACAGTGAGAAATTCAACGGAGTAGGAATATATGCAAAAAATATATGTCTGTGAATGCAGAAGAACTTTTCAAACTAGTCACTGCATACAAGAATCAAGTAAATAAGCAAGAAGTTATTATTATCACAAGTGACATCATAACAATACTTAATTACTAAGCATTCGGGGATAAATGAAAAGTCTTCGTACAATTAATTCTGTTATCTGAAAACCACGAAATATGCTATATGATGGATTACTGTTACTTTGTATAATAAATCAAAGGATTACGTGAGATGGTTAAAAATAGGATACTTAAGCACACAAAAGGTATCCATAATTTACTCACTGAAACCATACGACTCCATTTTAGCCAGTAATGCTTGACAAGGCATTTCGATTGAACTGAGTATAGAATGATCAACTTCGGACAGGTAGCTATTCAAATTTGTCCATAATGCTAGTAAGAAACACTGAGCTGCGGTTATATTTATATGATCAGGAAGACTGGATAACTGTTGTCCATTTAGATGGTTTGCAGGAGGACATTGATTAGGAGAACTAAGGTTGGGGATTTTAGACCAATCTGAAAACTGTGTTGGAGGTTCTAAAATGTGTAAAAGAAGTATCAAAAAGTCATATATGTGTTTTCGGACCACATACTTTCAAGCATGAAACAAAACACAAGCAAAAATCAACATCATGCATTCGCGAATCAAGTATTGGATTACATGACGGAAGATAAGGAAATGAAAATAAAACTATGGAAACCTGTGAAACATTATAGGACAAGAGAAGGGGGTTGCAACAAATAAAGAAATATGACAATAAATATTTATTCTGATTTGACTCGCATCACGTAAATTCCTCAACAGGTGATTTCGGTTACGTCACTGATCGTAATCAGCAAACTGACACTAACATATACGGCTCAGACTAACAGCCAATGACTTTGTAAGTCAATACCCCACTTTAGTCTGGTCATACTTGTCTTTATTTAACTTCAATCCCACACTATTTATAGCCCATTCATTTAAGCAATCGGTCAAAGGTTTAGAGTGTGCTACACCTCTATATGTGGAGCACAAATAAGGAGCACTATCAGCCCCCGCGCGATACATTTGACTCCTTGTCTAGTGTATGAATATGCATATGGTTGCTCAGTATGATTTTATTTTTATTTTGTATGTTTTTTAGACTAATTAAAATTGAACTAACAATCTTTATTTCAAAACACTTTCAGGTTAATCCATGTGTCCCAAACCACTAGTAACCAAGATAACTTTAAAGTACAGTCTTTCAGATGCTCACAAATCAATTAACCATCAGAATCACCTGTATCTACTAAAATGTATTTCATCAATTACCTAAATTTAAAATTCTAATATGTACAAATGTACAATTGTGTATATGCAGATATGACCATCTGAAATGACTAAATTAATTAAATAAAGGTCATCATCACAACTGTTGACATAATCACGTAAATTCACTTAAATTAATAAAAATCAGTTTACATTGCAACACGAATACTTTTTTTTGAAAAAAATGGTACACTAACAAATCTAACGTTAATAACTAGAATATAAAATGGAACAAACTTATTATTGACTGAATGCAATGGCATTGCATTGTTTGTACTGACACTTAGATGATGAAAAACGTTTTTTTACAGTCTGTCCGTTTGATCTACCCATCAAGACAGTTAATAAACCTAACTCCTATTATACTTAGAACAACTACAAGACCAGCCGGTGTAAACTTTGGACAAATGAAATACAAATTTTAGCTACATTACTAACTGTTAGGACAAATTTCAACTTTTGATCGACAAAACCAAGTGAGGTCTATGTAGTGATACTTGGTTTAGTGTAAAATTATCTGATCAACTGCTTAGTAAAAAAATGGTGACTGTAAACTATTAGAATGCAACTTAAGTGCCTTTTAGTTTCATTACTCAGTGAACAAAACTTGCATTATTACTGTCAACCGTTATCAAACTTCTAGGAAAATACAGCTTAGAAATTGTTTAAAATTTAGTGGCCAGCGTCTGACTAGTCTGCATGAGGATGCTTCATCGACCATAAGAAGGTTTTTAAACGCAAGGAATATCTTGAAAGGCCTTAGGATTGTTTGAAAATACCATTACTACATTCTCACATAAACAATCGGATAAACTAATATACGAGACTCGTAACGTCATTATCTACATACTTTCTTAAACAAAAACACTCAGTGTTTATGAAACCGCGAATGACAATCCAGCCTTATTCTCCTAAAGATTTGAGTGTGTTAAATTAATCGTGGGAAATAGACGTCTTGAGTTAATTAAACAATTTATTATTTTCAGCTATTTTTGTCTAATCTTAATCCATACTTTATTCAGAGTTTAAAAGTCGATACACCTTTCATTTCAAATTAAATATTGATTGACAATAATAGAAATAACTTAATGAGAATATTCAAAATTATCGAACTGTCACTACTGTGTGAACTGATACTCTATATACATAGCATTAAAACAAACACAATGTCGACATAACGACAAAATACACATAGCAAATTAGGTGACCGTGTGAAAATGAAATTTACTGGTTGAAATTTGATAGACCACATGCATTTAGAGACATATTTGGTGAAATGTGGTAAAACTCGCAAAAACAAGCGTTATTAAGATTGCTGGTGCGTTGTTCAAACAAAAGACTTTGAAGACTTGAATAGTTTAACAACCAACATGAAATGGAGTTGCGGTTGCAGAACTGCCTAGATAGGTAATTTTAGACTATATTCTGTTAGTGGCTAGGTTATTCAACTGTATATAAAAGATTATGAATAAAGTATATGAACATTTTATTTGAAAAGCTTTTGAAGTTACAGTGTTGCATAGCAAATAAAAACATAGAGAAGACGGTAGTCTGGATAAAAGTGTTTGTCGAAAACTAACATCCATACAAATACATAAATTTGACAGCCTTTAATCCTATATCTGCTAGTATACAATTGTTGAAATATTTTACCTAATTAACAAAGACTTACGTTGGTAGTTCAAAAAATTATTAAAAATAATTTCATCTTATCAAAGGCGTATTAATAACTCAAGATATGTATGTAGAAAGCCTTAATAGTTATATTCATGCGAAAAAGTCGAACACATTGATTATGTAGCCTAGCGATGAACCTTTTTTTACCGATACATCGATGATTTGCATACACTACTGAGCGGAAGAGTTTAAAGCGGTTGAAGAACAATACAATCTTTCAGGATTTCATCATGAAGTGAAATCGGTTAGTAGACCATTGAAATACCTGGGAGTACTGGACAGCTGTTTCGTCCTAGTTTGAGACTCTTCATCAGTACTCACCCATCGAGGTTAGAACCCAGAACCTTCTAGTTACAAGGCGAGCTCGCAGACCAGTAAGTTACTGGGACCAAACTGGGATGAAACAGCTGTCCAGGTTTTCTAAAGGTCTCCTAACCGGTGTCAGGTCATGGTGAAATCCTGAAACCAATCACATCCTTGAAAACCAACAACTGAATACAATTTTTGTTTACCTGCTATCAGGGTACGTTGTATTCTGCTTCTGTGTCGAAACCATGAACAGATATTGAATGCTGATGTTGAGTGAAAGAGGCATTTCATTTGATAAATATGAATCAACATACCCGTTTCTTGCAGAGTCAGCAGAAGGAGGTCGTTTCGCGCATCTATACGTGAAATGTACAGATAGTTTTGCATTCTTTTCCTTCACGTTCCCCAGTGGAACATAAGGCTCCAAGCTAGTGGCTTGATGTTTCTGTAGCAGTGTTTATTTTACAGGATGGGGTTGCTAGCCTCATGCCCAACCTTTCTTCTTCACCAGCATTATTTCCGGCTTAGCGAGGTAAAGGAGTGCATCGGCCGGGGATCGAACCCCGACCGTGTGCAGATAGTAGTCAGATTCTAACACACTAAGTAGAACTCCGTCGCTTACATCAATACCTAAGGAAAAAGAATCAAGAGCTTCTGATCTATGCAGTGAGCTTTGTCAAGACAGGAAAATGAGAGCAATGACATCCTGTCAGTCGCATGGGAGGTAGCAACCGCTTAACTGCTGTCAAATTCATAAGCGATTAAAACAAACACGTAAGATGTTGAGGACTTTCGTAACCAACCAACCAATTCAAGCGTAGAAATACACTGTAATTCATAAAATATATCACTTACACTAAAATACACACAAAACGACTAAAATTGATAGAAGCAATATCGTAACAAAAGACTTACCTAGAAGTTCAGCGAATGATGTAACCTTGCTCAGTAAATCAACAGTGTTGGCATTTAGTTTTTTTGCTTCATTCAACAAAGAACTTTGACCTAAATCTTGATTTTTTAACCAATTCACTAGATTCGGATTGTATATTTGAAATTTTATACCAATTGGTAGTTTGAATAAATCATAAACAATTCGATACCACCATTTAACATCCCAAAGAATTAAACCAATATTGTGATGACTTATGTAAAGAAATAAATCACGAATATCTGCTAAACATTTATTAACTGGAACTCTATTGACATCTTGAAGATATTTGTTTTAACGAAGAGAAAAAAAGAACAAAAATTAGATAACGAAGATAAAAAACTTACCGGCATTAAATTATTCAAAATACGACTGGGTTTGAAGAGATGAAGTGGGTGGCAGCACCAGTTGAATTAGTGGTTCTTATATAAAAGAACGTCTTTGTAACAACTGAAACCATACAAAATTTTATCCCGCCTAGTGTGAACAAATGGTGTGCAACATAATGAAGACCACTGCAAACAATCTCACAAATAAACAATCGGTCATTTCCCTGGGTAATTTATGTCAACTTGGATCGGTATCAGAACTTATCAGACAACTAATATAAAGAGCTAATGTGATTCGTATCCTTCTGCAACACATTGCATCTGCATCAGTTTACTAACTTCAATTATGCTGTTTTATGAAATGAAGAACAATTGTATTCAGCTATCTTCTTCCCCGAAATCTAACCATGAGTACAACATTGCATACACTGAATATTATGCCACATTTACCTCGCTTATTAGGTATGAAAACTCCGCACTTATTTGATTCCTATATATCTGGTAGTACTCCATTTGATCACATAGTAACTTTATACATTACTCAGGGCAAAACATTGACAAGCATCGGATATAACTAGATTAAGTCGTGATGTTTACCTTCTGACTGGCTTTGACTTCTTCATCCATTCCGCCTGTAGATAAAACGATGCTTCCTAGATAAGTGAAGCAAGTAACCTCATTCAAATCTCTACCGTTAATGGTGATTGGTGCTGGTTGTTATTGGTTAGTTGGCTTTATCACCCCCGTCTTCTCCATTTTCACCTGGAGTCCTGTCTTCGCTCCCAACCTTATCTGCCAGTTTGTTGGTTTTCCCTGCAAGTCTTCGAGTTTGTGTGACATTACACATATCATCTGCGAAATCCAGGTCTACTAATCTCCATATCGTTCGTCCAGCGTAATCCTGTCTTCTCACTCCCTGTGCACAGTCTGATGCATAATCCAGTCTACCACAATTAAGAATATCATCGGTGATAATAGGCAGCCAGACTTGTCTCACTCCTGTGTTCGATTCGAACGACTCACTGAGTTTTCCATTGTGGATCGCCTCACACATGGCATTGACATTTGGCCAGCTGTTGAATGAGGTTGCTAAGGACTTCGGCAATGCACTCCGTTGTGTTGAAGCAGTTTCCAAATTGCTTCTCGGTCAACGATGTGCCGTCTGGTGAAGGCCTTTTCGAAGTCAATGAAGTTAAGGTAGAGAGAGGTTTTACTGCCATTCTATGCTTCGTTCGATGACAATGCGTAGAGTTGCAATTTGCTTAGCACATGATTTGCCTTTACTGGATCCAGCTTGTTCCCGGTAATGGACGGAGTTCTATACCCAGTGCATCCTTCATTCTCTCCAGGGTATTTTACTTGGCGTGGACAAGAGCAGTATTCCACACCAGTTCTTACAGAGTGAGGCATAAGTCGGCCTTCTTTGGCAGCTTGACGAAGTACCCAACTTTTCTTCCAATCGGTAGATACCTTCCCTTCTTCTCTGACCCTTTACAGTAACGGCGTGAGCACATCTGTGGCAGCCTTTCGGTCTTTTTCAGTGCTTCAGGGGCCATTCCGTCTGATCCCGCTGACTTCCCGGCCGGTGTTAAACAGCTTGATCGCATTAAGGATTTCTGCTTTCGTTGGAGGATTGGTGTCCATTGACAGGTAGTTCTGTGAGTGCTGTTGGTGGTAGTCGTAAATCTAGGAGAGTTGCAGGTGATGGTCAATTCAGGAGTCGTTTGAAGTGATCAATCCATTGTTTTATTCGTTTCTCCTTCTTCGTTATCATTTCCCCTTGACCATCTCATATAGGTTTCACCTGTGTTGATCTCTTCCTGGATAGAGACCTGGATATCTGATATAATGTTCCTAGATCTGTTTTACCTGCGGCCTGCCTGTTCTGCTTCAGTTGGTGGCTAGTGTGTCGTAGAGTTGTCTTTTGTCTATCCTAGCACCCTTGTTCACTTCTTTCTTGATTCAGTGCGATGTACACCGAACTCAGATTCTCCTTGCGTTGTCCATCTTTGCATTGAGTCATCTTCTCTTTCACCATTCCCCTCTCCTCACTTTTATGAGCTTCCAGTTAGATGTTCGATGACAGTCATTCCTTGTTGTGTCTCTTCTCTCTTCCTAGAACAGTTGCACACGTTTCCTAAAGTAACACCATCAGAGATTTCCGATATTCTTCCAAGTAGGTCTCCTCAGTGACACCACATAGTGTCTCCGACTTCGCTCCAATGGTTGCAATGAAGGTATCTTTTGTAGTGTCGTCTTTCAGTTTCTGAATGCTGAACTTCGATTGTTTTCTGTCTTTAATTGTTTCGATGTATTTCAGCTTCACGTTGAAGATTCTTCGAAATAGATGATAGTCTGAGCCCACGTCTGCTTTTCTTGACAATGTGTCCAGCAGATTGCGTCTCCACTTTCTTGAGCAACGTTGAAATGAAGTCTATCTGGTTTGTGGTGTGTCCGTTAGGTGATTGTACACGCTGCCTCCAGTCACCAAATCATCATTAGTATTGGATGATTGTAAGCTTTCTTTCTTCCTTCATTTTTTCCTTCCCTCCGTCCTTTCGAGTTGAATCTTGCTGTCATTAGGCTGCAGGAGGAGATTGGTTCTCACTGCCTTCGAGCTTTGGCTGGTGTTGGTGACATCATAATAGCCACTGACTGTCTCAGTGTGCTTGTGGTTGTCGTCCTGGTGACCGGACTGGAGTAGATTACTGAGTCTCCAGTTGACAATTTCGACAGTTCACATCCATTCCTCTCATACTCCGAGCAATTCTACAGCATATCTGGTAATCTTATTAGCTACCTATGTATCCTTCCGAGTCGCATACACTTTACGAACATTTGACGTTCCCATTCTTATTCTTGCTTTAATCGGGAGAAGATACATCGGCTGACTGTATTCACGAGGGATTTCACCAGCCTGCGTCATTTCGCTTCTCCGATTTGAGCGAAGAATATGACTGTTATTTGAAGTTTTTGTATTTTGAATATACGTTCTGTGCGCTGAAGTTTCTCTAGTGGTTTGATAGGTTTAGTGGTGTAGGGTTAGCCCCACGCCCAACCCTCTTTCTTTACTCGGGCATGGGTCCAGCTAGAAAACTAGCAAGCTAGTTAACTAGGCGAGGTTAAAGCCTTTTTGGTATTGGTACGTATTTCTAAACACATACCTAAATCAATCATTAATACGTGTCTATACAGTCTTCCATGAATAGACCAGTTACAAAAGGTTTTTCCAATGTAATTTTCTTAGTGGTGTGCAAGTATGGAAGTAAATTCCCGGCTTCATATTGTTTATTTTATATGCAAAATGATATGTTTTCAACAAAGTGGAGAAATAAGTTACGTTTTGAAGGGTTATAACTTATAATCGATACAGTTGCAGGGTAAATAACCATGATTATGCAAAAGGGCTGCGAACAGAAAAATAATGCACAGAAACAAGTGAGAACGTGTGTAATTTTTCTCAATATCAGTTTGTTTACTGAATGAATCACACAGTGATAAAGGATATCATACGAAGAACATGGTATTTTGCAGTCATACTACAAAGTTACCATGACCAATATTCATAACGAGATACTACACTGGTTACACTTCGTTATTTGATGGCGGCATGTATCACCAACTTTTCACAAACTTATGTTCATGAGTAGCCATAACAGTCCCCAATCAACAAATTAAACTCAGGAAATAAACCTAGTTCATAAGAAGAAATAAAAAATAGTACTAGTAACAGTAATAATGCATAAAAGATTATAAAATCTTACCATTTTGTGAAACAAAATCAATCCAAAATACAACATTAGATCGGAGGCATACTGAAGAAAGTGATAACCCACTAAGGTACAAGTTGTAATCTGTGCACAGACTTTTTCCACCACCAGTAGCTGGATGTCCCCCAGGTCCAGAACGCCAAATTAAACATTCTAGTGAATCCTTTCCATTAATATTATCTACTTGATTAGGGAAGTTCATGTTTACACTCCAACCAGGTTGTACAGCGATATAATTTGAGTTAGTAGAATTTTGTTTACTTATTTCATCTATGCGTTTATACAGATCGTCAAGGAAAGTTTTCCACAGGAAATATGATTGAGTTACATCAATGATAGAGAATAAATCATCTCTATTATCACAGTTGTAGTCATCCTCATCATCACCATCATTTATATAAGTGATACCAGTTTTAACGACTTCCACAGGTAAAACATCAGTCGGAAGGACATCAGCACCTATGAATATAAAAAATGCAGGCATACATTATTTATAACACTACATAGAATAAATAAAAATTCAAAATTAATAATTTTTCCCCATCATTTGACAAAAGATGATTCATTGAATATTAATCGGGTCAATAGAGTAGTAAAAATGAATTATATAATTCAAGTGTGAATATCAGCGTTATTACTCGACGAGTTAGTTAATACTTACTCCCTTAAACCTTCAATACTATGCTACATCGACTGAGATGGTTAAGACATGTGTTACGTATGCCTAGTCATCGCCTTCCTCGATGGGCAATGTTACCTGATATAGGGTCAGACTGGAAAAGAGCTAGCGACGGTCAAACCAAAACATGACCTCATCAGTCAATGAAATCTACAACAGTTAGTCTAGGCCACGTAGGAAGGTGTAAACTTCCTGGTTGGGGTCCTCGGAACGGTAAAAACCAATGGCTGGAAACAATCGGTGACATGGCTCAAAATTGTTCTCAATGGCTGGTGCAGATGCATCCACTCCTTGTGACTTAGGATTTTCAATGAAACTATATTGTTCTTCGTTATTACTATTCCTTTGTCTCTCACCTCTGTTTACTGTCTATATTATGCATTTCTTCTATTGCTTTGTGTGCTAAATGGAGTGTGGCGACTTGAACTGCCACACATATGTGCAAAGTTCTATGTCGAATACAGACAGACAGACAGAATACTATGCAGGAGAAATAAACCTAAGCACCTTGTACGACATCTTAAGTAGATGAAATAAAAATCCCACTTAACAGCCACCTGCATTTCTACGCATTAGACAATGTGCGACAACGATGGTATGAGGGTGAATAATAAGTACTAACTATCTGACAAAAATAAGCAGCTGGAGCGGAGTGTTAAATCCATTAGCCGGTGCTTGGTAATGCAGAGTTAGTCAGAACTACATATGTTTAGCATATCAGAAAGAGTTAATCAGTAGAAGAGTGTCTCCAGTTTTTACTTTCCTTTAACATTCATTTTTACCAAGCTCTGAAACTTCAACTCTTCATAACCTGAATTGATAAATTATTTTGATATATTTCCAAATGTGTCCCAAACAGGACGAAATGCGCATCCTGGATTCCACTGCCAGTCAACATCCACCAATCAAACTGACATTTTCAAATGCTTCGATAAGCCATAGTATTTAGAAGAATACCGTTTTTCATGAATTTGTTTTATCTTATTATCATTTAAGAAGTGGCTACAATAACATCAAAGCGATTTACAGAAGTCAAATTTTAAGCACATTATAGATATTCAAAAACAGTATACTATGAATGAGTTCATATCATACTGTAAAATAAGTATAAATTATGTATAGAAGCATAAGCGAACATCTCCGACCCGTTTAGTAATCCACTTTTAAAATGATAGTGTTCTAATGGGATCAAGACCGTTTTGGAGAATGAAAACAACATTCACAGTAGGATCCTGGCCACTGATCGAAATTCTTATTCAAAACAATTTACAGTCCTCAGGAAAACGACACAATCCCTAATGAATGCATAGTGTTTACCGTTAAAATATTCCTCAGGAATTTCAATCTACTTGTGTAGGTGTAAACTTTTCATCAACACAATAACTGAGACTGAGGAAATTGTTAAATGAATACCAATGAAACATTACTGAATCTGGGAAATAATAAACCAATGACTACTCTACGTCACTGTGAGCCATTCCACTAAGAATCTTCAGTGACTTATTCTTACCACTTCGAAGATGAGAAAACTGGAACCAGAAATATTCCAAGAATTTTAAACATTTGATTGTGCCGTTTGTAAAATGTTCAAAGGACTAATGCAAAATGAAATGCAATTAATTGTAGAAATTGCGGAGGCATTGATAATTTTAAAAAATTACAGATGAGTCAAAAATGGCACAAACTCACTTGCTGCACATTTAAGAGCTTCACCAAAATTACGGTTTTGACAACATGATGACGAATCCCTATTAAAGAAAACGGTAGAAAATGATGGATTAATAATATTCATACGTGTCAATTCTTATTGATTTTCAAGTATTGGTTTGTAGGAATTTTGTTTGATTAGTTGAAGGATTTCATCATGAGCTGACATAAGTTAGGGTACCATTGGAAAACCTGCAGGGAATACTGGACAGCTGTTTCGTCCTAGTTTGGTACTCTTCACCAAAGTGATCGTGCTGTGTCATGAAATGGCAGAAGTTATAATTCATGTACTAGCCACTGGATCGCTTCCTAGCTGCTTAATGGTCTACGACCTCGCCTTGTAACCAGAAGGTCCTGGGTTCCAACCCTGGCGATGGGTGCATACTGATGAACAGTCCCAAACTAGGATGAAACAGCTGTCCAGCACGCTTAGGTTTTCCAATGGTTCTTTAAGTGATGTCAGCTAATGATGAAATCCTCCAACCAATTCTTATTGAAGCAAAGCTAAGAACATCAGTGCATTGAAATGGAGACAACTTCAGATATATACTTATAAAACCAAGATTATCTAATTGCGCTGTTTTATTTTCCTTATGTTAACTTCGGTCTTTAATTTCTGAAAAACATTGCTTCACACAGTGAATTCTGGGTAGCAATTTTCGACGCTTGAAAAGTGGGGGCAAGGTTTATATTATATTGGACAAGGTGATAGAAGGTTTACTGAAAACACGATACATACATACATTGCATACACTGGAAATCACCAGCGACTCTTGATGCATAATTCAGTTCGGAAGCAATTTTCTAATCAGTCGCTGGATGTTATCAAGTCAAAGTTTTAGTCAGAAACGTAGCTAAATACACCAAAAGTTTGATAGAAACTTACTGTGATTGTTTATTTGCTGGCAGATCAAATGTGAATGATGAGTTAAATAAGTCACCGATACTCTTCCTCTCTGTGCCCAAAGCTGTATCATCTTCATTGATAGATGTGGATGGATTGGCGCCAGGTGGTTGACTGGGGGAAACTAGTTTCTCTTTGTCTTCAAATTCAGTATCGAAAGTGATCTGTGACTACGATAAGAAAGAGGAATATTTAATGTTGTACAAAAGAATATATTATCATGGCAAAATACAAAGAGACTCATCAAAACGTTTTTGTTTTATGACGAACAAATCACGTTTAATTAGCATCAGAATCCGAAAAGATGATGGTTCACTATATTTTTGCGAAATGAATTTGTCTACTGATTAACAATTTAAGTAAACACGGAATCACAAAGTAAAATATCAAATGCGAGGAAGGGTTTAAAAAAGAAATTCTAAATTTGTTGATTCACTGTAACAGATATGTTACACAATAGTTCATTATGTTCCAGATAACATCGTTCAGATAAAAACACAAGTCAACAACCAACCTTGATGCTAGCTATATTTTTATGGTTTCTGATGTGAGTTTTAAAAATAACCGAAATCGCTTACTGGGACATTTAGGTAAAGTATTTTAGAACGAGTGGTACACATCAATTGTACATCTACTTTTATTATAACTTTCGTGTTTCCTGTAGCTTTTTACTACTGATAATATTACCATCTCAATATTTCATGTGGTTCGAGGTTCGATCCACCCCCGATGCACTCGTAAACCTTGCTAAGCCGGTGGTAAGTAGGGTCGGCGAGAAGGGAAGGTTGGGTGTGAGGCTAGCAACCCCACTCAGTAAAGTAAAAAATTTGCTAATAGTGAAACTTCAAAGCCATAGCTTGAAGCCCTATGTTTCATTCGGAAAGTAAAGGAATAAAAATTAAAAAAAACAGTGGGAAGCCCTAGATACATGACTCTTTAGTAGTCGAATCTACATATTATTTAACTGACACTCATAGTGAGTATTTATCGGTTCGATATGAAAAATAAATACAAAAGAATTTCGTTTATGTCAATCTTTACACTTCTTTATAGAGAAATGAAAGAAACGACAACTATTAGTAATCATTAGTGATAATAATAATAAAATAATAATTTAGGCGATAGAAATATTGAAAGATATTATGACACCAATAAATAGCATACTTACCATCATAAAATTTTGCAAGATTTGTGAATCAAAGTTCACGGTTAATTCTTCATTTTGTTTGGATGCTGTTTCATTAAAATTGTTATCAATATTATTATTATTATTATTATTATTATTATTATTATTATTATTATTAGCTTTGGATGCAGCAAATGAACTTTCAAACATTGAAAATGTAAGCGTATCATTTAATTCGAATACATTATCACAGGATATTAATGAGGATGATAGAGTTGAAGATTCAGACTGTTCACTGCAAGCCTGTACAGATGTACAATGATTAACTGAAATATTCATCACACTGTTTTCTGTTTTTGTATTATCAACTATTGAAATTTGATTATCAACAATAGCTGCTAGTTGACTGGTTAAAATGAAAGACTGACTAGGCTGAGTGAAATTCTCAAAATCTTTAGAGATCATTGTATCCTGGAGGTGTGTGGATTTATTGCACTGTACGTCCAAAACTTGAGACTGAAATGTTAAAATTTGATCATCACAATGGTCGATATTACAATCTGTACTATTCTTCTGAGATGAAGCGCATTTTTCCTCATTGTTGCAAGTGTGATTCCCTGTGTTGTTACAACAGTCATCAGAAATAGAGTCATCACTAGCAAACGACAATCCTGTACATATGGTGCTGTTAGTAGTAGTAGTAGTGGTTGTGGAGGCGGTGGTGTTACTCGCCGTCGTCGTTGCCAACATCACTGATGTAAGAACAACATTCTCTTCAGGAGCCTTTTTGCATTTCGCTCCGTGGTCTTCGCTTACAGAACTATTGGAACGCTTTCTATCCTCAGCAGAAACAAGATTCCTACCATGATCATCATTTACATTCATATCCCTGGAAGAAATTGTATTTTCCACTATTAATTGACTACTCTTCAACTCGTTTAATGTGTTTTTAATTTCAACAATAGCTTGTGATTGATGCACTGGTGAATCAGCAATAGTCGTGTTCTCCTTAGACTGTATCACTTTCTCATCTTCTTTGGATAGAATAACTAGATCTTTCCCATAAACTGAAGCTAAATCTATTTCCAATAATCGTTTAGCTTGCTCAATAATTAATGGTGCAGCTTCTTGTTCATTGATTACGTTCCCATCATCTAGTAGAATTGTACGACATGATGCTTTTGCAGAATTCTCACTGTTATTCTTTCTGTAATCATAGAAAAAGCCAAACGTAGGTTATTTCTTGTGTTATTTCTATGAAAATATAGCAATACTAATTGTGGAGCCATTGAAAACCATAAGCCTTTGAATTGTTATTTACTGGTGTAATTCAACATTACGAATCATGTGTCCGTAATATGGTACAAATAATAATAGTGCAATTGTGCTTTTTACTGCGATTTTTCAAATATCCAGTATAGGCACTGCGTCATTTCGATTGTATATGTCGAGTGTGGATTTGATGAACAAAGATTAGGTGGTTAAACTCTCCCCTTCTACCTAACCATACTACTCTTTTATATTTTTAACCTATTCCAATATACTGTGTGATTAAATGCAAATGAGTGCGTCGCAATGGCCGAGCTTTCTATTATGTAACATAATTCATCAAAGTCAATCACTCCTAATTTCTAATCATCTCAATGACACAAGTCTACTAGTTTGACGTAGGTAATCCACCTCACTGTCATCACCTGTTATTTTAGTTTTTAAATTATTTTAATTTTGGTAATTGAATCTATCGGGTTGTTAATCCGAGAAAGTTTGCTTCAAACTTCGTTGGTAGACATAAAATAAGTTACTAAGTGGTGTGAATACAATCCTTGCTAAGTAAATAAATAATACGGCTTCACTATTACAACAAATAATGTATCTAGTATGGGATTTTAAAAATAGATAAAAATTAAGCCAATCATGCTTATTTGCTAATGGGATGATAAGATTTCGCACACACATTGTGAACAATATTCTTTTCAGTATGATCTCATCAGGTTTTACCCTTCTAAAGATAACTTCATAGTGACTTACCAATAAGGTAGTAAGAATGTCTTTAAATATAAAAAATAAGGTTTTCGAAAGGAAAAATTAGACCAACAAATAGTTCAATTCTAGATCACCTTGTTCTCCCAAATCATTCCGCATCAACAGAAAAATCTTTCAAAGTCAAATATGGCGTACGGCCAAGTCGTTCGACAGGTTTCCGACTACATCTTCTGCCCACAGCAGAAGGTTTTGCTATACCCAAGGAAAATCTTGAACTGTGTATGCAGGCGAGGTTTATCTAATCCCTTTTACTACCGTGGCTTAAGGCCACGGTCCCTTCTTTAACTCACACACATAACATGGTATCTAATGCATATTCATTTGGTTTTTATCTTAGTCCTATTTGCCTCCTTTTAGACTCCTAACATTAAATTATACTTTGTAAATATTCCTAACCTCTTACCATCCTTTTAAACAATGTTCTTGTTTCTGAGGCCCTGTCAGTTATAATTTCCTACAATGGTAACCATTTCTGAGCGATGCTCATCACTTATCGTCTTTAGATTACGGGACTTATTTTGCTTGACATTTTATATTCATGTTTTGTTACTAACTGATATGACTAATTGACCTTAAAGGTAATCCCCTGACCCTTTACAGCAATATTATGTAACTGCACTGCGTTGGAGTGAAGTTACATAACGAATATTCTTTACTGAGCTGTCTCTTTGATCTGTGTCACATGGGTGTTTTTCATACTTCAAAAAGAATCCATTGTGTCAAATATAACTAAAGCGGATTATTCTGACTAGACAATAAAGTAGTAGTATATTTTAGGAATTCTGTAAACAAGTTTTGAAAAATATATATTCCTTACACACTTTGTAATTATTAAAATAAACAGCAACTGATTATTAGTTTTGACCTCGGAGGTGTAACTGTCACACACGATAACATGCGAGATGAAAATTAAGTATGTAGCATATTTAAGAGAAAGTTCAAACATAAAAATAAACTCATTTATTCTATTCTATTCCACGAATTATCAAAGTAGACGTAACAAGTACACCTGAAATTCCTATGTGATTTTCACTTCATTAACAAACCGAACTACATAGACTTATGTCATCATTGCTAGGAGAAATTTGACACATGACAACAGTAATTAACAGACTACTCAGCAAAACTGTCTATTTAAAAAGGCAACAGAATAAATGAACTGAAAAAAAATTGACACAAGGTGTATTGACTCACCGTTCAAAAGGTATTGCACGTTGTAAAACCCTTGAAATATCTTGAGAACGTGCAGTAGCCAACGACGATACAGAAGTATAACCAGCTGCGTATAAAGCCCGAGCACGTTCAGCATTAACCAGAGGGAGTAAACGTATCAAGTCAACAAGTTCTTCAGAAACACCATAGCATAAACGTGACTGGAAATTCGCTATTATACGTTCCATATGACTCCAACCAAGACGATTACAAAAGATAGTTACCATACCTATGATATTAATATATGAATGTTCACAGAATTATTTCCAGTGATAAACTTCAACAAAGCAGGAAGAATATAGTGAGCGGGATAAAATGATGCCATTTTATTTCGTTGGTCCGTGTCAACTGCGTACAACCATGAATAATTCAATATCAAAATATAAAATATTCAAACACTTTAGTTATTGTTCATAAAGGTGAAGAGTATTCATATCATGTGATTAAGTTGCATAATAATGGGAAGGAATGCAATTATGAGTCGATGTCAAGCTCGTTAGTATGCGTGAGAACAATTCGAATAATAATGTTACTTTAGAATTACGAATGAATGCTACAAAGTGAATAGAGGACTGAAATCAACAATACACTCATGTATAGTAAGCATCAAATAATTTAGTTGAATACAGAACTGTCAGAACTAAATATAATTAAAATAACGCAGAACAATTAAATCACGTAAAGTGTATATATCAAGGTGAGGTAAGATTAACACCGGTTTCCTTCTGGATGAATAAATTCGGTTTTAATCGTCTACTGACAATCGCTTCAGTGATACCTAGTGACCTGGAGGTGTGTTGAGTTTTAATTAACTTAAGGGATTTCAATGCATCGATTGCATGAAATCTGTCTAACAGGTGGTGAGCAATCGTACTACTAAGGACTTTTGCACCTTTCTTGGAATATGATCAGATGTGCGGTCACAAATCCTTCTTTCTGTTTGTCTGACCCTTACAGCTCTATTCACTTTGTAGCATTCATTCGTAATTCTAAAGTAACATTATTATTCGAATTGTTCTCACGCATACTAACGAGCTTGACATCGACTCATAATTGCATTCCTTCCCATTATTATGCAACTTAATCACATGATATGAATACTCTTCACCTTTATGAACAATAACTAAAGTGTTTGAATATTTTATATTTTGATATTGAATTATTCATGGTTGTACACAGTTGACACGAACCAACGAAATAAAATGGCATCATTTTATCCCTATCACTATGTTGTTATAGATGCATTTGTAAGGGGTGTTTGCACACAAGTATCAGTTTTGGTGGTAGTACCTAGAAGATAAGTGAAAAATGGAGGCCTCTTTACATCTTCCTAGTACAGCATAAACGGATATTAGATTCTACATACTGCATGCCAGGTCAAAGTTAGATTGTTACATAACACATGAAATACTTGTATTTAATGAGTCATGAAAGGAAAAGTTATCAGATTCAATCCGATTATTCCGTCTGACGATGCAAGTTAATATCACAAAACATGTGAGCCACTTGAGTGAGAATTTTAAATAGCAAATATTAAGAATTCTAAAATTCATGTTCTGTATTTACCTAGATTTACTTGCAAAGTGTTTAACGCTGGGAGTTTTCAAGTATCATTTGAGGTTTGAGTTCAAGTTAATCAATCATGAATTAACAAACTACACCATAAAACAGCATCAACTCATATTTACTGAATAAACGCTTTATATAACGGTCTTTATGTATTGTAGACAAATGGTGAATGGAATCTATGAATTAGGGACTTGTGCACTTTAATATAAATGAGACATTATTCTATTAGGAAATATTGCATATTTCATGAAAAAATATGTATGAAAACATACCTGCATAAGTGGCAGCTTGTTGTTGTAAACTCTGTAGGAGACCACGATTGACGCCAAACTTCCTTGCAACAGCTTGTAAGCCATCTTCATTAACTAAGCGATATAGTACTAAAGCTGTATAAAAACGTCTATGCAAGCTCAGACGTCGACTGCTCATAGAAGCATTACCAAGACGACCACAAGTGGTTGGTGGGGCACCAGCTGCACATCTGGTAATAAACCGTTCTTCAATATCAACCAGATCAGCAACTCTACGCTCTGCAGGAGATAAACTCTGATACTGTTCCAAGTAACAAAGCCAATCCAAATCAGCACCAACATCCAAATACACAGGAGTTAACTGAAAACAGTTTAAAAACACGTGCATTAATAAACACCATTTTGTAACTGATACAAGATCACCTTATGCAAAACAACCAAAGTGTAAATTTAAACAGGCACACACAAACGACTTTAGACTATACTAAACATTGTTTCAAGTTACTACAATTAGCAAGGGAGAAGGATAAAAGGAATAATATATGTTGAAGACGGATGTGTATTCGAGACGAATGAGTAATAAGCAGTTTAAGATATAGGAAAAGGTAGTGGACAGCAGCATCTACGCAAGCATGGTTGGCACTCACTCCTAGCTACATAGAATCAATACATAATAGTGACTAACATTTTAATGACACCATACATACAGTATGGGTGTCTAAAACACATAAGCATTACAAATAAAGCAGTTATTTCAGTTCCATTTAGTGTCAGAGAAAATCAATCTTCACAATAGCTTATGTGTACAGGAATGTCTTTGAGTAGATAAATCTCAAAGTATTATATAATATACTCACCAGATATATCAGATGTAATTCAGTATCCAGGGCAATAGATCGTCGTGCGCGATCCAACTCCTCGAAAACTGCTAACCCATGCACTGGACCTAAAGAAGACGACAATACCGCTCTTCCTAAGGCCGTTGGTTGTAGTCGAGCATAATTCAATAAGCAATTCAATGAATCAGCATCCATTTGTGACAGATTTGCATTATTGCCTTCTGGATTTGAAGATTGATCAATATAGATCAGTTCTTGCTTTTGTAATTCTTTAATACATAAGAATAACAAACGTTTCATTTCACTTATAAATCCATTATTGTTATCTGTAACACAACTGAGTTGACTACTAGAAGAAATTCTAGACTGTGATAGACGTAGAGAACGACGCCGAATTCCTCCTGGTGAGTGATGAGATGATTTAGGAGATTTCAGTTCAGTCAACTTTTCTTGAGTGATAGCAGTAGCCAACAGGGTACTAGAGAGATACAGTAGAGCATCGGTTAGTGTTTCAACAAATCCGTTTGCAATAACCTAGATCATTCAATTTAAAATAAGGAGAAGAAATAAAGGGTTAGCTTAATGAAAAAATGTAGGTGTGAACACGTAACACAGCACACTCAAGCACTTACTTAATTCTAGAAAAAAAAAGCATGAATGATGCTAGCAATAGGTTTCAAAATCCCAATGAAGTGAGAAAGTAAGTTTTTTTGGAAAACTAAGACTGGGACAAATTAACTTCTGCTTAAATAGTAAATAGAACAAACTGCACTTCATCGTTTACGCAAAACATACAACACTAAAAAGAGGACAGGACACGTCAATGGGATTATTAATGTAACTTTTTCATGATTATTATCAACCATCTACTGAATGCTTAACTTACCAATAACTTATAAAGCTGTGGGGTTGTTTTTTTTCAACCATTCCATCAGAGCTCAAATGAGTCAACTGAATATATATCCATCAGTTAAATCACAGCATACCTCTGATGTAACTACCAAATAAAAAGTAAATTCATACATTCAATGTATTAACAGGATGTAAAAAGGAAGTAACATATCCAATAAATTTTCGAGATAAATGTATTGTAACTGAGATCTCAAAGAAAAATGATACACTTATGTGAATTCTACCATCAACTACCAAGTAACCTATCAACAGATGTCGCAGTGGTAATTGGGATCCGAAATGTATTTCTCGAGTAGCATAGTCGAAAGACAATTTGTTGAGGCGATTAAAAAGTATACGTCAGGCCTTGAAACAGTCCTTAGCCGTTCACAATTCGTCTGACCACCACTGACTTCCGCACAGCTATAGCCTCTGTGTTACCTGGTGACCTATGTCTGCTTCGCAAGCCTTGTAAAGGCAACACTGAGGAATGTAGAATGCTTTTGTCATGTTGACTCCCTATATGTAGTATAGGCTATTATGCATTTAAAATGTCACCAAACACGGATCAGAGACAAAATCAATAACGGTCAGGTTATGGTTCCTTAGTCGTTTGTTTTCACCATCAAAAACAGTGCAAAGAAACAAACGTTTATACAATAAATGCTCAGTAAGAGTGATGTTTCTAGTGGAACAAAGATATCTTAACAGTCACACAAAATATAGAGTAGTTCAATTCATCCTGATACTTAAGTTAGTTGTAACAATGTTGTAGCAATTCACACAAAATTTATAAACCAAACAAATAAATAACAAAATTTTCAATCCATCAACGAACATACCTCAAGTAAAGCACGTTTTAGGCTAGATTCAGGGCTGCCTCCTTGACCCATTAGACAGGAATTCACTGGTGGCATTCCATTCATCACCAACTGACGTACACGTCCCAAATCTTTGGGTTTACATAATAATATGCTTTGGCCTAAATAAATGTGAAGAATACATCGAAATGAGGGAAATGAAGGAAGTTATACTGAAGGTTAGGATCAATTACTCATAATACCACATATTAAATGCATGAACCCCATGTCATGCAAACAATTCAATCACTATAAAAACGTCAATTGGGTATTCCACTTACGATTTACTTAACTTACACATTTAACTTCAATTGTGTGAAAGAGGAGTCATCCACCAGTCATAAGGAATTTACACGGAAGAGAATTTATCGTTGTAACCCACAGAATATAGAAAAATCCGTCTTAAAAGAAAAGTTTTCAGAAGAAAGCTCATTTAAGCAAGAGAGAACATGAAGCTGCATTCTAATGGGTAGAACCATAACGTAGGGAATTCTACGGAAGTAATCACCATTTCATGTTCGAAATGAGGAGCCTACGTGTGAAGCTTACATTACCAATATGAACACAACCTTTGTATGGATTTCATCCAGCTTATCCTAATTGCCTAGGGATTTGACTAGTTACATTAGCAGTTGTGTTGTCACTATAAGCGTATATATTCCAGTTGTCTGGTTACAGAAACATCGATAACAAAGTATCAGTTTAACAGCAGATGACAAGAGACATGCTAACGGAAGGTTTACTTGAGATTTCGTATCTCTGTATAGGGAAATTATGTACACCTTATATGAAAATCGTCATTGGCATAGATCTTTCGTGTTGTGCTACTTCTGCCTTTGGTAGTGTGTGCTTCTTTGTCTTCTCTTCGTGTCTCCCATGTTTTGCCGCAGCAGTGGTTCATTTGCTCTCTTTGACGTCTCTCCGCTATTTGATATCTTTGCACCGATGAACGTCTTTTTATATACTACTAAAAATCAGTGGCAAACTCCACATAAGTGCATAGTGGTGCATACATTTCACATTCGTACATTAAGTAGAAGAAAGGGTGACAGAAAGAACGGAAATAAGTTTCAAAGACTGCGAAATGCTATTTAACCTAAATCAGAGGATGAAACAAACAAACAACATATTTTAATAGAGATAAATAACGAATGCATCCACACTGTGACCGATTCCCTGGCAGCATGCAGACTAATCAGGTAACTTATAATTCTATATATGAACGAGATGACGCGTAATTTTTGAATTCATGGATTTTAAGATGCTGCTTGTGATTGACTTAGTCCAACAACAGTTAACATAGTACATGCAGATAGACGGTTCAGTTTCCTTGACAAAGTACTCTACACCGCCGTCGCATCAGCCAGTTAATAATGTCACGTTTCCGTAAAAAAGGGGAAAGACCGCTGTACCCCACAAACTGTCTATTCAATTTAAAACAAGCAAAAAAGGTTAATAAAGTAGGATTTAATTTTTACCCAATTATTCGTTGAACACAATTTTAATGTTCACAGCATTAAACTGAGATCAAGAAATTAATTATTATAAAAGACTGTTATTTGTTGAGATCTAGCATTCATTTGGGTGGAGACACATGCGTGCGATAAAACTTTGATTATCTAAGCCACTGTTGGAGAAGGGCCACTACTGATCCAACATTAATATGACCTGCTTGAACCCAGAGGTCTAATGAGTTAGAAGACAATCGTATTTTATAGCTTTTCCATTTATGCGTAAATTGGTGCTAGTTAGTAAATGATTATTCAAACAGCATAACGGTATGTGATTAACGCTATCAGCTCGCTGAAGTGGGACTTCAAGCATACAATCTAACAAACTTTGTCTGATACAGATTTCCTATTTGTGCACTAAAATCTCTTTTTAGGACGGCCACACCTGAGTATTTGGACATTTCTAGCAGACCAGACTATGCTGGTGAGACTGGAGTCAATTATCGATTTTCGTTGAGACCACCCAAGGCTTGATTAGTAACTAGGTCCTTAAGATCAGTTCCGAAAGTCACTGTTTTCTATTTGATTTCAAATGATACCTTGTTTATTCAGCAACCTTTCAGCATACTAAGGCCATATACACAAAAGTGTTGAAAACAAAACCAAAAATTCTAACACTTAATTAAAATATAAATGACACTAGTAGTGATTGACTTTTACAGTATAAACAGAAATATTATATCATTATTATTACTCACCACTAGTATCAACGCCTTGACGACCTGCTCGACCAGCCATTTGTTTATAAGTAAGATAATCTAACATATGTCCATGAAACAATGGTGTTCGAATTATAACACGACGGGCAGGTAGATTAACTCCAGAGCTTAATGTGGATGTGGCAATTAAAATACGAATAAGACCTTTACGGAAGCCAAACTCAATCACTTCTCGTTCTTCAATTGTAAGACCTAGAAAATAGAATTCATAACAAGTTTTTATTAAACTACGACTTTTACTGCTAGCTGACACTTGTCAGAGTGCAATATCTGCAACAGTATGGAGACTTATTTTCTTTCTGGATTCAGTAAACTTCATGTGAACTACAGGACAAATATTACGATATATATATATATTCATTATGGTTTTCAAACTACCTTCCTCGCCAGTCAACAGGCAGTTTTTGCCTAAATATATGTCACTCACAAGGTAGTGACCTCGCCTAGATTACTAGCTCGCTAGTTTTCTAGCCGGCCCCAAGCCCGGATAAAGAGGGACGGTTGGGGCGTGGTGCTAGCAACTCCACCCCCAAAACTCAACCAAACTGCTACAAAAACTTCAACGCACAAATATATTAAAAATTCTAAAAAAAAATCTTCAACACAAGGTAGTGAATCAGCAACAGTTACCAAGTTGCATTTTTTTATCCATTTATAAGGAAGAGACATATACACTGAATAAGATCCAGACATTGTCGCCAAAAATAGTGTCGAAGTTGGTACATCTCATTATATAGTGTGTGAAACTATACCAAACCCACATTCGTTAATCATATTTCATGCCTTAATGCAAGTTCAGTTCCCTTACCAGCAATTTTATATTGTAACCTAAGTGCGTTCTCACTGACATGTTGTGCTGGAGAAACCAAGCAAAATCCTTTCGAAACTCCTTAATACACTGAATATCAGTTTTCTCACTTCAAAAATGCAACTGCTGATCGAATTGCAAATAACGCACAAAAAAGGGAAGTATTAAATAACGACAGGAAACAGTCAACATATCTATACTTCTAAACTATAAGCTTATACAAGTTTTAACTGACCTGCATGATGAAAGGCAACACCATAGCCTAGACATCTTGCCAAAGCTGTATCAAGGCCAGCTGGACAACGCCTTAGCTGGTCGACACAAGTGGTAAGGCCCACTCGGTCCAAACGTGATGCCAAGCGTACTCCAATATCTGGTCCTAAGTAGCAATCATTTGGATCGCTGTCAACAGGATCCTCAGACCTTAACACCCGGGTATTATTTTCCTGCTGACATTGTGCTGAAAAGTAGGACTGTGTTAGACTGAAGATCTATGGAAGAAAAGTAGTTAAAATGTAGAGAATTTATTACAACAGTGTTCATTAAAGAAAACCAAATACATCACAACGAAAATATTCTGCCTACCCCGTCAAATATGATAATAAAAGTAAGATTAGTACTACATTAGTGTACACTTAAATACTTTTCCTAATTTCATCCACATCGCAGTGCAGTATTATATATCGGATAACAACATTTTAGACGCCAGTTATTATCCGTGACCAAATACAGGTGGAAAGTGATAGGTTGGGAAGAGAAATTTAAGCTAAACCCTGCCTTTTAGGTAGACATAAGACTCAGTAGCTCAAGCACTCAACTGTTACTAAATGGGTCCTAAGCTTGAATCCAACTCCGTCTACTTCAGCTCTCTCACAAAATGAGCGTGCTTCATAGCCCAGTACATGAAAAGTCTGTTCCTGGCAACTGAGTTCTGACTAATGAACTCCCATTTTTCTATGCTTATCTTTAATTTAAAGTGATTAAAAAGTGATAATAAAGAAAATTCGACTGATATAATACAACACCAAACAATGTGAACTTACATGGCGTGCCATTGTATCAGCTAATTGTTCACACCATTGTTTAGTAGGACAAAACACTAGTACACCATGTCCATTCAAGAATGAATCAAGACACAAACCAAACACACCATCTTCATCATTTAATTGAATATCAGAAGTTAACTGTGGATCCAAAGGTAAATTATCAGTAGGTACCAGACACCTAAATTAATTTAGTTATACAAAAATAGCCAGTGTGAGAAATGATATCTTTAGAAAATGATATAACAATATAGTTATTCATGGTAAGCATTGAAAACAAAAGATGAAACGATGGAAAAATAAGTTATATCCCTGTAGTACGGGACATCTTCGGAGCACGAAGTACTTCTCGTTCACGGTCGCGAAAAAAGAGACTTAAAGTTCTGGAAGAAACTATTTGCAGTTGAAGAGCTTAAGAACATTCAGAGCATTAAATTTTCAGTTTTCACTACTTTTCCTACATGCATCGATTCTACATGGTTAGACTTATGTAACCGTAAAAGTTACTGTTTATATTATTAGAAAATTCCAAGCTGCTGAAGAGTGAGATACTTTACTATTACTTTAATAATATGCAGTATAATGACTTACTCTGACTTCTGTTGACTGCAAACACTATCAACATCAGAATTAACTAATTTATAGAACTCATTCACTTTAGATCTTGTATCACATGATAAAATGAGTTCAGTCAGTGGGACTGGACGAAACTTTGTTACATAAACCTCTGCATCTAACCACTGTCCAAGTGTCGCAAGATTTGGCAAAGTAGCACTCATGCCAACTATTTGAATACCACCTGTATCACAGTAGGATTGGTTCAAAGATCCATTCAACAGACTTTGAGAATCCCCTGAACCTTTGCCACCATCAATTAGTTTAGCATTTAATCTGCGACGTGAATAGAGGAGTAACTTTGTTAACAACAACTCCAGTAAATAACCTCGATGAGTATCACCAATAAGATGTAATTCATCGACAACGACAATACCTAAAAATTAACCAATTTAAAAGTAAGTCAGTGTGGAATAAAACAAATGCTTAGGTGAGGGTTAATTTATACTAATAAAAAATGAAAAGATGAGTAGGTCTTTACTGAAATAATTTTAAATCTACAAGATGAACAAATTCTTCAAAAAACATCACTAGAACTTCAATACTATTGTACACTATAATATTAAAATGGTCTGTTCGTTTGTTAAAAGATGCCCATGAATAAATATTTATTGGATACGCTTCCTGACACTAATCAAGAAAAAAGTCATCTATATTTCTCAGTTCTGGCATTAAAATTCCATACCTCAATTTATCAATACTGTCTGGGATATTGATATGACACTATTTCTTCGATCAATTTATTGTCTTCCAAATCCTCTCGTCACATGGTGTACTACATATTGCTATTTTACTCGAAGATCCTGAGTGCAACTAGACACGCTGACAATTCTGTACATTGTGCGAACATTTTGTTCAGAATAAAGCTGTTATTATTTCTTTTAATTCATTCATTTATTCAAATGAACTTACAGATGTATGCTGTCATAAAACGGGCAGTAATAAATGAACTTTGATGATCTTAACACCAATATACGTAGTATTTTAATTCGATACTAACAAATCAGAAATGAAAAGCTGGAGACCTACCTAATTCGTCTAAACGATCTTCTTCTATTAGTCTATTAATCAGACTGTTTGCCTTTTCAATTGTACAAACGGCTACATTAATGGCGGACAAACCCCCAGGTGGACTGTGACCCCCCATGTAGCCTCCAACACGAATACCCAGACTGCTGAACAGTTTCTAGTAAACAAAAGAGTTTAAATTAAACATCAAAAGATGTATGGGTGAAATGAAAGGTTATATCATAATTACAACTTTAATAAATATATCACGGTTAGAAACCTGAATAAATAACAAGAATAGCCAACTTTTTTGAACTCAGCTAAACTTTTATGGTACTGGTTACAAAGATCAAGATGAAGCAGCGATCGAGTTTTCAAAGATTTAACCTTTCAAATGACTTATTTTTGAACATGCACAAAATATGTTAAAATTAAAAATGGACTGACACAATAAACCAACCTGTAGGTAAGTCATTTTCTCTCTTGATACAGACACATAAGGTAGAATTATAAATGCCTTCAATGAAGATTCCAAAACACGTTTAAGTACAATGAGCTCAGCAACGAGGGTCTTTCCAGCACTAGTAGGAGCTGAGTAAACAAGATTTTTATTCCCCTCTATGAAATAAGTTTTAAAGTAGGTAGGCTTACCAAGAACACCAGGCAAGCGAAGGCATTCAGCTTGCCAAGAAAATATACTAGATATATTCATCTTTTTATATTGCATATACAGTTCTTCAGGAACATAAAAGCCATCTTCAATCCTAATAGAATCTCCAACTTTGATTTCCATTTCGTGAACAAATCTCAAGTAACATTTATTTCATACACAGCCACCTAAATAAATGAATACAAAAGCTCATTTAGTCGGAACAATAATAGTAAGGAATGAATGATCAGCAAGGTGCTGATGTAGTTTACTGGCTTGAGTACTTGAGTTCAGGCTGGTAGATGAGGTATATACTACACAGCACTTGCTGAGGTTTGCGCGCATAATTAGTTCACCAACTCAAAAATGTGGCCACCTCTGGTATGGTGGGGTTGTATTACACGGCTGAATTACTGTTGCTTTACCTGGAGTCCATACATCATTGAATTAGACATACACTATCAGTCACTCGTGGTGAAATAAAAAACAGCCTGACAACCAAACCGAAATTTAAATATCACATATACACAAAATATGAATACAGATACATGAATTTGTGATTCAATGTTTTGTTATCTAACTCAACTAAGTTTTTGGGTCACGAAATAAACATCACTTTTTAAGAACATTCATAACAGTTTGGCTCAAAATGCATCTTGTAATAGTACGAAAACAATCCAAGTTTGTTAAGCTTAAATGTCTGTATGCCAGCAGTAATACCCGAATAGATTTAACCTGCATAAAATAAACGTCAGGTCAGCGTTTCTCTATGATTGGCAGATCCAACACATGCGTCACCATAACATTTTCAAAGGGATATTAAAGACTCCTATAAACAGAGGCCTTCGCTGAATACTGAAAACCAATGTACGATCTCAAAAGGTAATCCATAAAGAACTCTGGTAGGCAGTGAACCATCCAACAACTCATTGCCAAAACAATATAGAGAAGGATATGAGGGTGGACAAGACATTGTGGTGACACCCACTGGTACCACAAACCAGGCACACCTTCGAGTGGAGTCTGAGTTGAAGGAGACGAATGAGGTATCACAGGTTGACACGGAACGAAAGGCTCATGGCTCAAAAGAAACAGGTGACGTGACTTTACATAAGAGGACATTCAACTTCAAAGACAGAAAAGTGAGTAGGCCGCGGGTGAGTATTCAGATCATCTAATAAACACCTAAGCTGTCTAAAGCAGATATAAGTCGAAATTTATTATAATACAGTGAATGGATGTGAATAGCTATTATTCGAAAAGATGATCAGATTCAGATTACGAGGATAGAAGGCTCTTGTTGCCTATGTTAATCCTCGCGATATATATCACTGCAGAGATCCAGTTTCTCTTTGAAAGCGTTCACCGATGGAACTGTTACTACTGAATCAGTTCCAGTCGTTGACCACTCTGTGAGAGAATCTTAACTTCACATATATTTTATTCGACCTCGGTTCGAGCACCTTCTTGTGGTGACCTCGTAAATGTATCCTAGAGGCAGAGAAAAGGCTTGAAAAGTCAATCCCTAAATCACCCTTGAATATACGGTAAGCCAAAATAAGTGACCTCTCCTCCTTCGGTATGATAATGGGAAGATATTTAAATGCTCCATCCTCATATCATAAGGAAGGTGTGAGATACCACTAACTAATTTCGTTCCTACCCTCTGTACTCTTTCCAAGGTATGTGCCTCCTTTTTGAAGCATGGACTCGCTGCTTGTATGCAGTACTCTATACGGGGTCTGACATGTGTTGCATGTTGTTTGAACATACCCTCTCTCAATCGTTTGAAAGCCGTTCGAAGTGCCCATAGCATTCGAAAAGCCTCAGCTGCGGCTCGATTATAATTTACCGTTGTTTTTAAGTCATCGCTTACAATAATTCCTAAGTCCTTTTGTCCCCTAACATCTGGCAGTTCTGTGTCCCCCAGGGAGTATGACGTAAGACTGCTGAAGTAGGTGCATTACCGCGCTTTTCTTGGAATTAATTTCCAGACTCCAAAAGTTAGCCCATTTGGCTAATTTATCTAGATCGTTTTGTAGTACAAACATATCATCGTTACTATTTACGGTTTTGTTTATCTTAATATCGTCCGCTAATAGTAAGGAAGATGAGATAAGAATTTTCGGCACTTCATTTACGTATAACAGGAAAAGCTGGGGGCCAAGTACAGTTCCCTGAGGTACTCCACTCAGTACTGCTTTCCACCCTGACAGTACCCTTACCTTCTGCCTCTTATCCATCAGGTAGTCACTAAACCACTCATATAAGCGCTGGTCTAATCCAAAACGTTTAATTTAACTAATAAGACCTAAATGGGATACCTTATCGAATGCTTTACTAAGATCGATAAAGACAAAGTCCAGGAGATGGTTCTTATCCCTGACCTCGACCCAATCTTCCCTAGCTAACAGTAAGTTTTTCAAGCAGGATCGTTCTGGTCGGAATCCATGCTGTTCCACTGCCAGTAAGCCATGTTTATCCGCATGAGCTAAGAGCTGATCCCCTATGAGTATTTCTAACACCTTTGCTGTAATGCAGGTCAGACTTACAGGCCGGTAGTTATATACTAACTGCCTGTTCCCATCTTTGAAGATGGGGCTTATAAAAGCATCTTTCCAGTCCCTGCGTAGCCTAGCCTGGGTTAGAGACATCTGAAAAATCTCCGTAAGTGGTATGTATATTATATCCGCCAAGGAGATTAGCAGTCTAAGGTGAAGACCGGTGATTTACCTGGCTTCAGCTTAGACAATTGTTTCAGAAGCACTGCATCCTCTACCACAATGGGGGCACTTTAGTGGCTACATCAGTGACCTCGCAACACCCCTGAGTGGTACGAATAAGCGAGAAAAAATCACAAAAGTATTCAGAGAGCTTTTCAGCTTTTGTTTCATCTGACTCGGCAGCCTCTCCAGTGTTGCTAATGAGGGACGGTATGCCGCTGCTAATTTTAGTCCTGCGTTTGATATACGAGTACAGTGTTTTTGGATAATGCACACAATCCAGTTCTAACTGTCTCTCACTCTCTATACGACTTTTGTCAATCTTATACTTACAGAGGTTTCGAATTTTGCGGTAATCCATCTGAACCTCATCCCTCCAAGTCACAGCGAATCACTCACATAAGTTCTTTGATTTTCTTAATAACCGCCTTATTTCATTACTAACCCAAGGTGGTTTATGCGATAGTTTTCGAGGCGAATGTCAAAGTATAAAGGGTGCAGTGGCGCAATCTAGTGTATTCCAAAATCCTATCCAAGCCTCCTCGACAGTCTGATGGGCATTAACAGACCACTCAGCTAGGGTTGCCGCATTTCGCCTATCAAAAATTGAAATTTGACCCGTAACCACAATAATGTGAAAACTTTACGTAACATAAATCTTACTCATTAGAGTGCTTTGATTGCAAGCATCTTTGCTTAACACTGACGTCCAGTCAGGACAACAAAGATACCCACTCCTCTCCAGCCAACTGGAATGCTTATTCCAGCGCGCGCATTTCCAACCTTGGCGGTTGCCACAATTAACATTGTTACTGCTTGAACAAAACAACTCAAACTCAGATTTTTAACTAAGAATGAAAGGATACGAGCCTGTATCAATCCTCCTTGCTTCGGTATCTGAAGTTATATTTGTTTTTCAATGAACAAAATGCAGTATTTCCAAAAAAGGTGAAGATTCATAAGGTTGCTCCCACAAAATCAGGGAAAGGTAGAATTGCCAAAGCACCACTTGCATCCACTAGGAAGCTTGGCAACACAGCGAAGGCTGGTAAAAGCCTGATGAAGACTAAAGTTACTGACGCTGCAAAGGAATACAAGCAGTCAAAGGCCAAACTAAGTCTGATGTCAGTCGGTCTAATTCTCCTATTCTTTCTAATGTACTTGTGAGCAAGGATAGCTTGCTTGGACAACGGGCCCTGTTTGATCAGGAACCGCGGTCCAACTTGTGCAATAAATTAGATCTGAACATTAGTTCAGCGAAATTGTGCAGGCTGTACAGGGGTGTCCACACACCTCAGGGTAAGCCACCCCAATTAGGGTTACACTGGACTCTGCCGAAAAGGCCGACAGAGTACTATTAATGGCTCAGGTACTAGACATCAACAGAAGTTCGAACATAAGAGTGAGACAAGGCACACCATGGGCTGTCAGACAAATGACGAGGGAGTCACAGGAACTGTGCCTTCCACCTCTGGAAAAGGGGACTGCTTGGGAAAAACACATGCATGACATACAGCAATGAAGATGGCTATCATCTCAAATGCCCCTTGGCTTTTCTGGAGTAATCTCCATTTTCCGACTACCTCGCCCCGTTCATCTCACACTGATTATCTCTCCAAAGCTGCTTAGTGTCACATTCAACTCTTTGGAGCGGTTGGCCAAAGCACTTCAACGGTGATATGAGACCGAGGGAAAATGGGAGGACACATCCGATGCTGTGAAAGCAGACCTCGAACCTTAAGGAGGCAGCAAACTGAGGCTTTAATACGTCCCCAAGCTTCAGTGATACTAGAGCGATGCAGTTCTGAGAATAACAGTCTGTGTCACCCAAGTGTCCTGCCTAAATCCATGGAAAAACACCACAACGGGCCGGTTCCATCGGAATCGACCAACTAGTCCCAGCATTAAGTCCCCTACCGGCAGACAGCTTCACGTCAACTACCCCACAACACGCTGAGGTTGTAAGACTCAGTGTCAGCTGCCTATATAGCAATGTGAGGGGGCTGAGAGGAAATATAGGTGAACTCCGAAATCTCCAAGCACACCTACAACTGAAAATGATCATTCTAACTGAAACGTAGCTAACCCCCACTATCGCCGATAACGAAATCAGTTTAGGTGATATGGTCTTGGTCAGGAGGGACAGGGATAATAAGGAAGCAGGGGGAGTTGCCATATACTTTGATAGGCAACTAAAATGTGTGCGCGCAACGGACCCACCACTCATTGAACTCCCAGACTCCATATGGTGTCATTTCACCGTAGGCCACACCAAGCACTTACTGGGTGTCATCTACTGACCACCCAACTGTGGGGCAGAGCACAATCAGCTACTGCTCAGCACTATCACAGGGATACGAGACTTGGGCTATGACCAAATCACCATTGCTGGAGATTTCAATGCCCCATCACTGAACCTTG